GAGAATATATGGTGTTCTGCATTATCGATATTTGTAAGTGCAAAAATTGGTATATAAAAATACAGTAAGTTGCAAATACGGTATGTAGCATATACGGTAAGTTGCAAATACGGTAGGTAGCATATACAGTAAGTTGCAAATACGATAAGGTGAAAATACGATAAGTTGTTTGCAAATACGATAGGTTGTAAATACGGTAGGCAGCATATACGGTAAAGTACAAATACGGTAGGCTGCAAATATGGTAAGTTGCAAATACGGTAGGCAGCATATATGATAAGCTGTATATAGGGTAAGTTGCCTGCAAATACGGTAAGTTGCATATATGGATTTATAATTTGTTATAAATGTATAAAATTTATTTAATATTGAATTTCTTAAGTATTAAATGTTCTAATTCAATATTGTTTCCTTTTTTATAATTGTATTTCCAAGAATTAAAAAAAAAAGTGGTTACGAAATTGCTAATTTTTAAATGTGTTTTTTTGTTGAAGATAAAAATGATTTTTTTATGTTATTTGTAAAAAAAAAAATTATTATAATTTTATTGGCGTAATAAGTAGATTTATTATGCATTTTTATTTTTTTACATTTTGAGAAAAATTTTGTTTATGGTGATTGACAAATATTTTTCCACACACGCATCATGCCAACAACATAAAAAAATAATAATAATTTTAGTATATATATAAACTCCATGAGAAAAAAAATAAAATAAAATTCTCCGCATATGAGCAAAAAAAAAAACTTTGCAAAGTGCGGAGAGATGGCAAATTATCTCTCCGCATAGTGTGAAGAGAAAAATAAAAACTCTCAAGACTTTATCTGTAAGTTCCAAGAGACATTTTCTCAAACAACTCTTGAGCAATTCATTGAACACTTTAATTCCCGCCCTACAACCCGAAAGTATAATTTCATTGAAAATTATATGCGCTTCTAATATCCAAGAGCTGTTATCAAGAAAGTGTAAAATCTTGAATTTGGATGGTACCTTAGAGCCTCCATTTGTGAAAGCAATGTCATGGTACTATAAATATCCCCTTCTTTGCACAATTCACTTATTGTTTCATTATATGAATCACGAGAAAACTCATTTCCAGTACCGTAAATATGATTTGCATGCTCAGAAGTCGAGCTGTGACTGAAATTTAAAGAAAACATAATTGATTTTGAACTATATTTTTCGACTCTGTTTCGTTGTACATACGAAAAATTTACAATCTTGAAATTTGACTTGTAATTAAGGAATTTGAAAACAACTCACCGCACTGTGCGGTGAGTTTTTTCTCTCCCTATATTGTGCGGAGAGCTGGTTTGCCATCTCTCAATACTGTACGGAGAGTTTTTCTTTTACTCCGCACTGTGCAGAGAGGTTTTTAGAGTTTTTTTTTCTCCCTATACTGTGTGAAGAGCTGGTTTGTCATCTCTCCACACTATACGAAGAGTTTTTCTTTTACTCCGTACTGTGCGGAGAGGTTTTTTTTTCTCTCCGTACTTTTTTTTACTCCGCACATGGTTCAACTCTCTACACATTGTGCAGATAGTTTTTCTCTCCACATTGTACGAAGAGTTTTGCTATAGTGCGGACCAACTCTCCGCACTGTGAGGAGATTATTTATTTATTTATTATTATTATTATTACTCCGCACTGTGCGAAAAGTTTGCCAAACTCTCTGTATATGGTTCAACTTTCTCCGCACCTATTTTTATTTTTATTTTTACTCCGCACTTGGTTCAATTTTCTTCGCACAATGCGGAGAGTTTTTTTTTTCAATTTTACAATATTGAATTACACAAAATTTAGAAATATAATATTCACATTCAATTTAATCATATCAATACTATCAAATAATACAAGCAAAATAGTTTGTATATTTCTTATTCAAGCATGAAATATACAAGCATATTTTTTCTAGATAACATACTACTATGCAATTGTAAAAATAATTTACAATTATTTTGTTATATCATGGAAATATTTTTAGATATTGTTTCAGAAACTTTCCAAAAAAACTAAAATTCATTCACTAATAAAAATAAGATAAATACAAAATTCGTGCAACGCACGTAATAGCAACTAGTAAGTGTAAAAACATCATCTAATAATTTTAAAACATCCAAAATATATGAGATGTTATCTATAGGATAATCACCACACTAATCCATTTTAAAATATTCTATTTCAAGATCAAATTTCAGTTAATTTAAAATAACATAGTCTTCCTATAGGGGGGTCGACTTAATTTGATACTGAACATACGTATTTTAATAACAAATTGTACAATGGAGGAGGGCGAGGGTTTATATATGCCTATAAACCATCTCACACTTATTATTTTGAACTGATCTTGGATCTTCATTTAATAATTAATCAATCAAATATAAAAAAATTATATTGGCACCAAATTATTAAAGATAATTTCTCAACCACTTCTAATTAATTTAGAGTTGTGAAAAATTATAAAATATCAATGAATATGATTTTAGTGTACTGGGTGATGTTTCATTTAATTTATGTGACATGTGATAATCATCTATTCATTCGTCATTCGTAAGCAATAAAAGTATTAATTAAATGAATTACAATCACTTATGGCCATCCTAAAAATTGAAAATACAACAAATTCAAATTACATAATACTAGATCTTTAAGGACTACAACTCAAAAATCAGGGATAAAATTTCATTATTCATAAATTAGATATTAATATAAAAATTAAATATTAATATATCCACCCAATTCAATTCCAAGCCTTAGTCAATTCATTATATTCTTACTTTCACTCTTCACATTCTCTTCCTCTACATCTCTTCCTTTTCGGTGCTCTGTAACACGCAGTGGTGATCTGGATTTTCTCCGATTTGTGGTGGGTTCGATGATGGTAGGTCTATACGCCATCTCCACCATTTAAGTAGCACCGCGATGCTATTGTATGTAGAGGACACTGGAGTTTTCAACAATCTGTACCAGGTAGCAACGATCTGAAATTTTCTTCGGGATTTGGTGCGTTTGGTGATGGTGGGTTTATGTGCCGTCACCACCGATGCTGCTGTAATGAAGAGGAGATCAAAGCCTCCGTTTATGGTAGATTCAACGATCTAAAATTTTCTTCGATTAGATGATCTGTGCCACAATTTAGTGATGATAATGGTGGTAGTGGTGGTTTGGGATGGATTTAGTGTCGTTGCGGGTTTTAGGTGGTTTTTGTTGGTTGGGTAGGTAGAATACTAGCTTCGATTGTGAATCTAGCAAGGACTTTGGTTGGTTGTGCAGGTGAAGGTGTTGACGATGATAGGTGGCAGTTGACGATGGTGGTGATGATGATAATGGTGATGGTAATTTTGGTGGTAATAGTAGTAATGTGGTATGTTGTGGACTTGGCTATGGTCACAACATGGGTAGTCGCAATTGGTGGTGGCAGTGACGGTAGTATTGGTGGTGGTGGTATGTGACCCACTATTTAGCTTATGTGACCAATTATTTGGTTATTCATGTCTAAATATTTAATTGTAACCTAAAAATTCGATAATTTGTGATTGAAAAATAATTTCTAACCAACCAATTTGAAAATCTATGACCAACAAATAAACTGTGACCTATAATGTTTTTGGTT